GAGCGACCTCGGGGAAACAGCGAGGGAGCAGGGTTGCGGGTTGACTGTGGTCGCGCATTTGTGCACGGATAGACAAGTGAGGGAGTGGGCGATTAGACGGGACCCAGCAGGCCCCCAGCCGCAGCAGAGTGGGCCGCCATTTCCCCACTCTGACCCCGCCTCCACATACAGAGTCATAACCCAGAGACCTGGGAGTCCAAGGCTCCGCTCCTCACACTTAACAGGTGCAAACAGACCAAAAATGGCTCAAGAAGATCTCAAAGCCCCAGAGCCTATAAATCTAAGCAATGAAGAAATAGCAAAACTCTCAGATGCACAGTTTAAAACACTGGTGATCAGGATCCTCACAGAACTGGTTGATTAGAGCCACAAATTAGAGAAACATATGAAGGCGAAACTAATTGAAATGAATGGAATTGCACAGGAAACCAATAGCGACGAAAAAGAAACTGGGATTCAAATCAATGGAGTGGACCAGAAGAAAGCAAATAATGGCCAAACAGAAAAGAGTGAAGAAGCAAGAATTCAAAGAAATGAGGAGAGTCTTTGGAACCTCCAGGACATCTTTAAACACTCCAACATCTGAATTATAGGGGTACCAGAAGGGGGAAAGGAACAGCCACCAGTGGAAAACTTATTTGAACAAATAATAAAGGAGAACTTCCCCAATCTGGCAAAGGAAATAGACTTCCAGGAAATCCAGGAAGCTCAGAGAGTCCCAAAGAAGTTGGACCCAAGAAGGAACACACCAAGGCACATCATAATTACATTAGCCAAGATTAAAATGAAGGAGAGAATCCTACAAGCAGCAAGAGCTAAGGGGACAGTCACCTACAAAGGAGTCCCCATCAGACTGTCAGCAGATTTCTCAAAAGAGACCTTACAGGCAAGAAGGGGCTGAAAGAGGTATTCCAAGTCATGAAATCCAAAGACCTACAACCAAGATTACTCTATCCAGCAAAACTTTCATTTAGAATGGAAGGACAGGTAAAGTGCTTCTCAGATAAGATCAAATTTAAGGAGTTCATCATCACCAAGCCCTTACTATATGAAATGTTAAAGGGACTTATCTAAGAAAAAGAAGTTAAAAAAACATGAACAGTGAAAGGACAGAAAACTCACAGTTATTAACAACCACACCTAAAACACAAGCAAACTAAAAGGACAGCTAGATCAGGAGTAGAAACATAGAAAGGAAGATCTCAAGGAGGGTTAGTAAAGGAGAGTGGGAGAAGGAGAAGGGGGGAGAAGGTACAGAAAATAAGTAGCATAGACAGTAGATAGAAAATAGGGGGAGGGCAAGAATAGTATGGGAAATATAGAATCTAAAGAACTTGAGACACATGGTCATAAACTAAAGGGGGGTAATGATGGGGGAGGGGGGGTAGGGTGGAGGGGAATGAAGGGGGGAATAGAACAACTGTAATGGCATAATCAATAAAAAAAAAAGAAGTACAAATGGATTTACAGAATAGCCATGGGATTGTAAAGCACAGTATAGGAAATGTGTGAGGTGTGGACATGAACAATGGTGTGGGGATTGCCTGAGGGAGTGCTGGGTGCTGGGTAGAGGGGGAGCAAAGGGGTTGGGATGACTATAATAGCATAATCAATAAAATATAATTAAAATAAATATAAAATTATTTTCATCTGCTTCTCTTTTTCCTTAAAATGAGGCCACTAGAAAATTAATTTTTATTTGACAATAGCTACCAAGTACTAACTGCTTCCACATGCCAGGCCCTTTATATGCATTATTTCATATAACACTCACTATAATCCAGTGAGGCAGATAACATTTTCAAGTTCATTTTACAGATGAGGAACTAAGGCTGGGAGAACTTCAGTGATTACCTAAAGTCTCTGACCTAGTCAACTAACTACCTGGCTAAAGTGAAGCTCAGGCAGTGGAGCTAAAACCCAATTCCCACCACCCCTAACCCCACCCCCTACCCCGTCTCCCTTTAACCACTCCCAAGGCAACAAAATAAACCCTTTCCAAATCTTCCCTCCTCCTAGTCTCCCAGACTCCTTAATCCAACCCAGTTTTCTAAGCTCTCACAACAGTCAAAGGCAGGCCAAAATCTGGACCTGACTTTGGCAGCTTCCTTGAGCAGGGCTCACACATTTAGAGCTGGGGAACTTCCCTTCCCTAGGCACTGCCTGGAAGCTCCCCTCCCCGTCATGTCCCCTCCTTCCTGGAGGGAGGGCTCAGGGCGCAGCTGCTTCCCGGCCCCTTTCGCTCTGCGCCTAGCTGCCCTGCTGGCCTCACCACCCCAACAGGCCAGGAAAGACCTGATACCCCATCTCTGAGCCTCGGGCTGTTGCTATTTCTGCGTGACGGAATTCAGCCCATCCAAATTAAAAGGTGATATTTCATCTCTAATTGGCAAGTTCAAAAGGCTCCTATCGCACTCGCAGGTTCAGGAATGTGTAATTAAACAAGGTGATTTCTGACTCACTGCAGGCCAGGCCCCGCTTCCCAGGAGCGCCTAGCCTCGGCCGGGCCCCCGGGCTGACCTGGCCCCGGCCTCCGCGCCACTGCCCAGTCCCCTCCCGGGCCCCAGGTGCTCTGGGGAGCAGCCGCCCGGCCCGGCGCCAGCAATAAGATCTGGGCTCCGAACACCACCCTCGTCCTGGAGGAGTCCCCACGGGGAGCTTCCTCGGGGCAGGGCTGGGACGCTCCGCCCGGGGGTCGGCAGAGGAGGGGCAGAGGAGGGGAGGAGGCTCAGGCCCGCCACATTCCCTGCTTCTCACAGAGCCGCCTGCCAGCCACCCCTGGGCGGCACCCAGCAGCAGGGTCTCCACGAGAAGGAGTGGAGGCAGGCCGCCTCCTTCCCTCCCGGCAGGAATGAGTTAACGTCTGCGGGCTTGGGAATGCTGCGGAGGCCCCGGGCTCCTGCACATCTCGCCCGCTTGGGCCGGAGCCCATTAGGAGGGAAGAAGAGGCACCCAGTACTGGGCCCCGGAGCCCTGCCGCCCTCTGGCGGGCCTGCGGAGGAGACCCTGTGCCGCGGTGGGCACGGAAGCCTGGGCCTGCTCTTGAAGGTGCTCAGAAAGACCCACCCACCTGGGACCGAGCCCTACCGGGCCGGGCAGGTACACACGTGCCTTCTACACAGATGCCATCCCGGCTCCACCTACCGCCGCTCCTTCAAACTCCTTTTCCCACTCCCTCCAGTGTTCCCCCTCTCCGTGCCAGCCGCTTCAGAACACTGTGCCCCTGCCTCTGAACCCCACCTCTTGGGCACTCAGCTTGGCACTTGGTGGTTCTTTTCATTCCCAGAACATGAGATGTATACAGTATCACGCCCATTTTTCAAATGAACAAAACCCACCAGGGGATAAAGTATCTTGCCCTAGATATCAGAGCAGGCCCTGGCAGGGGAGTCTGTCTGATGATAAGGCCCCTTCTACAGCCTACACTGAAGGCTGTTGTCACAGTGAGCTCTGTGAACAAAGGTCTGGTGGGTCTCCTGTGCCCCATACAAGTCAAGCTCCTGAAGCAAGGTCCTTCTTGACTCAGCTCCTGTCTTGTCTTCCCTGCTCTCCAGCCACAGTGGGATCTTTTGTGCTCTCTAACAAGACATGCTCCTGAGTCCAGACTTTGCTCTTCCTTTATTTACCCCATGGCTGCTTGGCCAACTCTCCCTCTCCTTCCTGCCTGCTGAGAATTACCTACCTCATTCTTTCCCAAACAAGACATTAACTTCCTCACCTCATGAGTCTTACCATATGTAAAAATGATATGTGTTCAATAATTTAGGGAGGAAAGAACAGTTTATATCACTATTACAAGTGGAAAATTTTTCCATAAATTCATGTTTTCCATAAATTCAAGATGGCCATAAAACTAAATTTGTTGAAAGTATAATGCTTTAAATGAAAAGCATGTTCCCACTTAATTTCCTACCTGACCCGTGCATGGAATAGGCACCAGGATATCACTCTAAGAACCCTTGTGATCCATTATCCCTGTGTGTTCAGCCACCAGAGCATGCAGCTCGCTGTCTCTTTTCTCCCCATTCTCCACTCCCTGTTGCAAGTGGGAGGACATTTGTGATTCTTACCAGCATTCATTCATTCATTTGTTCCTATTCACTGCCTATGCTGAGTAGCTATAGCTTTGCCCTCCTGGAATTCAGAGTCAGAGTCCAGTGGGATTCAGGGGATAAGTGGTGGTGATATCAGCAGTCAGGGCCTGGATGTCAGGAGCCCTCCTGTGGGCACGTCCGATAGACCTGGGCACATGGAACCTTCCCCCGGCCTAGGAAAATACCTGCTAAGGAACCCTTAGGTTTATTAAACGAGAATAAGCAGGAGAAGGGAGACAGTGCAAGACAGCCTGACAATTGCCCTGGAGTTCTGGGGAGGAAGCCCAACTTTGGCTAGGAAAAAGGGGGTCATGGGGCTGAGCCCTCTTCCCTGCAAGGGGGTCCTAGGCAGTGAAGGGAATGGGAACCAGAGTGATAGAACAGAGTGCCAGTGAGCTCAGCCACCGTCAGGCTCTGTGCTGGCCATTCTGCTGCCTTACCTATGCTTTCCATGGCTCCAGTTACCTTGCCTCAGCTGAGGAAACCAAAGACCAGCCAGGCTGAGCAGCTTGCCCAGGGGCACACCATGACATAGTGAGGCTGTCCAAAGCCCACGTTATTTTTTTTGTATAGCTACCTGTCTGCTGGTTTGAACCAGACTCAGAATCCTGGAGGAACAAGCTCCTCTCTCTATATCCTCTTCCCTCTGCTTGAGCCTGAAAATCCCCAGACAGGAACATCCTCTTCCTAACAGCTGGGAGGCTCCATTCCTGCCCGGCGCTGCCCACCTGTCTCCCAGGAGCCCAAGGCAGGCTCTATAGGATTCTGGCCCACAACTGAGGGAAGGAGGTCTGAATCACATTATCAGGGCCTCCCTGACCACCATCCTTTTGGGTACGTGGCCTTGGAACTGACCCTTGGAACCCATGCCCAGTGTGAGCATTTCCCCTCCCACTCTCCTCTTACCTGGCTGGTAGACAGAAGGCCGAATGCTGGCAGTAGTGACCACCCGAGGCTTGGGTGCAGGGCCAGCTGGGGCTTCGGTGTATGTATGTGCAGCAGGTCCAGGAGAGGTGGTACTGTGAGCAGAGGCCTGTGGTCTGGAACCAAGGGGGGAAGAGTTAACAGCCAGGACAGCCCCACCCAGGTCCTGGTGCTAGCAGCCACGGCAGGTTGGCTTTCCAATCTTCAGGAGCCTCTGTGGAGAGGAAGCCTGATGGAAATGATTGAGGATAGCTGCTGGAGGCTGTGAGGAAAGACCATGAGGTCTTAGAGGGGAGGAAGCTGTTCCTTGGGTGTCGAGTCTTGGTAAGTTTGGTTAAAGCAGCAGAGACACCTAGAGAGATATAGCCTATTGCTGGTGTCACCACCTCAGAGAGAAGGAGGAAGGCCACCAGCTGGACAGGAGGATGCAGAGAAGAACCTTCACCCTCATGGGAAGAGACTGCAAGGGTAGGTCCAGGGCTGAAGGGAACAGAGGCAGGACAGAGGAGAGAGATGGGGGTGGTCAGAGCTGCCCCACCCCCTCGACCTTCTGACCTTGGGGCACTTCACAGCCTTATACTTCCTGGCCTCCTCTCACTCTCCCTTTCTGTTGTTACTAAGGGAGAAGTAAAGTCTCAGTTTTCTGGGCAAGAGGGCTTCAGGGAGGGCTCATGGGAAGCCAGAAGACCCCCTCACCTCCAGACGTGCTTCTCTTCGATGTACAATTTTTGCCCTCTTCCCACTGGATTAGCCGCCAAGAGGCTTAGAGCAGCCTTTTCCTACTTGTGACCCATGGGACCAAAGAGATGGGGGTGGGGGAATGTGTCCCAGTTAATTGCCCTCAGGAAATATGTACTTGGCCTCTTTTCTTGGAGAGCTGAAGGCTAAAAGAGCTCCTGGAGTTAAGCAGTTTGTTTTACTTTGTTTGATCCAGTGTTTTCCAATTTTGTTTGTCTGTGAATCCTGCCCCCATTTTTTTTTCCATTTAAAACTAATGAACACTTTACAGAACACATCCCTCATTTCTCCCTACTGCTTTCAAATCCCAGCAGGGACCATGTGACCACACCCAGGGGAAATGGGTTGCTAGAGAAGTGAGTTCTTGAAAATGTACTGTCCCTCACCAGCCAATGGCTTCCTGCCTTCCTTCTGCCTGTTTGGCACAGGCTCAGGGCCTGTGCATCATGCTGGGCAGAGTCATAGGATAAGGCAGAACCTGCCTTTCTAGGACTCTGGAAGGCAGTGGTCCTGAGCTAAGAATCCACTGCCAAGCTCCTGATTGGTGCTGCCGCACACAGCACGGAGGTGGAATGAGCTTCGGACAGCCATAGTCCTAGACCTGGGTGGTGTATAGACTTGCCCTGCCACATTGCCATATTTCTGGTTGAGTGAGGCCACTGTCTCCCCTCCCTGGGCCTGCATGCTCATCTCTGACCAACCTGTTAAGACCAGTAGGGGGTCAGTGGAAGAGGAAAAGGCAGTACCCACAGGGTACCCAGCTTCCACTGTGGTGGGAGAAGGCCAAGTCGATGGATCTTAATCAGAATATTCTCACCAGTGGAGGATGCTTTCCCAGCATCCCAGGAGCCATGAGTCCCGTGTCATGGATTGTTGTTGTGGGAGGAAGCCGCAGTTAAGATATCCAGCAAGAATTTGAAGCCATGTTCCAGAGAAGGGCTGGTCCTTTGCCTTCCAATTGCTCCCTCTCCGTCCATCCCACCCCTTGTGCAGGAAGGGAAGGTAGGTGGGCCCCCAGTGTGGTCCCCTGATGCCTTCTGCTTCGGCCTGAAGCTAGGAGCACTGCAGGTCCCTGTGCAACCTCCACCCAGGCACTTGGCAAGACAAAGTGAAGGAAGGTCTGCCCTGTTGAGGGAGTGCTGAGGCCCCCAAGAGACAGAGGCCCAGAGTGTGCTGCTGAATCCTGCTCTTGAGCAGAGCCCCAGCATCTAGAGCTCCCCAATCCAAACTGGGGAAGCATCTTCCCACTCAGCAACAGGGACATTTTTTACCCTCCTCTAAGTTTCTTCTTTGTGCCCTTACCTGAAGCAATTCTGGTATGCAGAGGGGAAGCACTTGTTAAGTGTCCCCGGAAGCTGGGGTAGAACAAGCCCTGTAGGCTGGAGTGGGTTCAGCCTGGAGGCTTGAGTTGGACTAGGGAAAGGCTGGACACTGCATTACCTGGGTCACTGTACAGCCCCAGGGGAAGGGCTGGAGTCCACAAGCCTGTGGGCTACTCTGCTCATCCTTCTTCCTCCTGAGGCTGCACCAGGGACCTATGCATCCTGGGGCATGACCTTTCCAGCCAAACCCTGGAAGAGGAGTGTGGGAGACTGAGAAATCTGGCTCTGACCTTAACACCAATTTGACAGCTCCGTGCAACCCAGAAGGAGCTGGGTCAGCCTGGCCTGTTACACTGCCTGACTGTTCCAGAGTGATCTGCCAGCCAGACTCCAGCACCTCCTGACACCTGCCCACACCCCTCTCACCACCCAACCCCTACCTTTGCTGGGTACCCAGGAGGGCATGTTGAAAAGCAGTAAATTGCAATACCCGAGACCATTTTATGTACACTTTTTCTATCCCAACCCTATAAAATAGATGTTGCATTAAACATCTTCACAGGTGAGGAAATTGAGGTTCTGAGAAGTCTGGTATTTCTGAAGATTACAGACAGTAAGTGGTGGAGCAGAGATTTAAAACCCACTGCACCAGCTGCCTCCGGAGTTAGCATGCTTCTCCATCAAGAGAAGAGAGCCTAAGGGACAAGGGCAAGTTAGTTGCTAAATATCTGACCTGCCTTCTCTGAACAGGTCAATGCTCCTTCCTTCATGGAGCCTTCCTCAGCTTCCCCAGCCCATGGCGACAACTTTTATTCTCCCTCATTCCAGTTCCAGGAACACAGACCTTCCACACAGTCTCTGTTATCTAACTTGTGTGTGTTTGTGTGTGTATGTGTGTGTGTGTGTGTGTGTGTGTGTGTGTGACTTTAATCTCTCTCACTAGAGCATAATCTGTCCTCAGCCACACTGTACACTCCCCTTCACTTGCTGCAGCAAGCAGTGCTAGCCTTGGCTTCCTTGGGGCCTTGGGCTCCTAACCATCTTGGCTAGGCCTTTCTGAGGACCAGGCACAGCTGCCTACAGATGGACCCAGAGTGGACCTTGCCTGCCTCCCTTCCCCACGGCCAGGGCCGGCACCTGTGGGGCAGTTACCTTGGACTTCCTGCACGACTTGAAGCAAGGGCCATGGCAGAGGCGGTAGTAGCGTGGGCAGTGGTTGCAGCCAAGGGTGGCGAGGCTGTGCTAGGAGAGGCAGCAGTGGGTGGCTGGGCAGAAGCAGGCAGCTGGGCAGAAGCAGGCAGCAGCAGGGTGGTGGCCTGGCTGGTGCACACTGGAGCATGCTCAATAGGGGTGCTGGTGAGGTAGGACCGAGAAAGACAACAAGTCAAGGGGGCCCCTCTGCGTGGTCGTGGTAGCTGCAGCAGAGGCAGGCTGGGTGGAAGGCAGCATTCACACTGCGAACGGAGCATGATCTTCCAGAAGTCATCGACCCTGCTTCAGGGAAAGAGCCCCAACCCCCAGGACCCAAAGAGGGAAGGGCTCAAACCACAAGGAAGATCACAGTGACAAAATTATTCTCAAGCCCAGTAAGAACCGCCCCCTATTTTTACTTCCTATTTTTCTGAGTATGTATCACAAAAAACACAGTGTGATGGAAAAGTAGATTGAATTATCAGCCCTCATCCTGTTTTCCTTTTTTTTTCTTCATCCTTCTCCATTTAATCAGACGCACACATTGCCTTTGAGAAGAGATAATACGATGAGAAAAGCAAAGGTCAGATATTTGAGGGCCAAGGGCTTAGGTTCTAGAGTGGTGAGAGCCTGGGCTTTTGGGCTGTGAGAGTCTCAAGGTACTAACTACATTTGGAAGATGGATGGAAGCTGCCATGCCAGGCAGATGAAGGTTATCTAGACTGGAAAGGGGACAATATGGCTTGGGGGATTTGAGAATAGAGGCAGCTGTGCCCCCTTTCTGGGTAAACCCTAGAGAGATGGCAGAACTCCAGGGTCTACTATGCCCATGGTGAAGGGGCAGACAGATCTAAGTCAGCCCAAAGATCCCCAGGCTATATCGTGTGCACTAGCAGCCACAGACGATTCCCCATATACCCAAGAGTGTCATGGGCATGGCCCTCAGTGCCCGCGCATCTGAAAGACCCTGTAATTGGGAACAAGAGAGGTGACTGCTGTGCCAGTGTAGACCAGTGTGGCCAGACAGAATAGGGATATTCCCACAGATGCTGGCACAGGTACACCATGATCAAGGGCCAGGTGCCAGATGCCCCACCCTGTCTGCCTTGTTATTCTGTAAGTATCTCTTCCCCCAAGACCACTCCAAAGCAAGAGAGGAGCATCAGAGCTTGAATTGGTGGGATAAGATTTCTGCCACCTGTGAACAGGGCATCAAATGCAAATTAAGTTATAGGAAAGCAAAGAAATACACATTATCTAATCTGGGTCATTGGATTAGGATTTGTACTTGTTACAATAGCAATAGGATACTGCAACTGCTGCAAGTGGGGATGGCTTTCCCCATGCAGTGCAATTCGGTTGTTAACCTGGTACTGTGTGCCAGGCACATGTCTGTAGTTCCTCACAACCACCCTCTGATGTGGATGTTAGCAACTCTGTTTAATTGATGAGGGAATGGAGATGGAGAATTCAATTGCTCCAGCTCCTAGAACATATGGGTAGTGACAGCAGGATCTGACTGAGAGACATTCGGATTTGAAGCCTTACCTGGTACCCCAAGTGTAGCCTCATGGAGGAAGAAAGAAACTTCTGCCTAGAGTAAGGCAAGTAGAATCTTCTCCCACAGAAGGCACTATACTTATTGGAAAGAATTAGAATAATAATCTTCCCTCTGTGAGTGCTTACCACATGCCAGGCTTTGTGCAAACAGCCAGATAAGCATTACTCCATTTGATCCTTTCAAACTTGCTGGGAGATGGGTCTAAAGATTCTCATTTTTACAGGTGAGGAACCTGACTTCCAGAAAGACTGAGTCTGCTAAAACATCCACCAAACTGCCAAAACCTCACTGCAGCATTTCCCAG